GCTGCTCGCCCCGGGCACCGCCACACTCCGAGCCCGGCGGGCCTGGCCTGCCGGGCTGGTGCGGAACCTGGTGCCGGCTGGAAGTGCCACCTGCTCCCTGCCAAGTGTATTACACCGAGCTCGGGACACCGGAGCTGCTAAGTGTTACATTAAACCATATCCTTTCCTCTGCCCCTTTTGGTCATCCTCGGAGCCCGAAGGAGGGCTGCTGCCTGAGCCCGTGTGACCCATGGCTCTCTGTGGTTGGCAGCTGCTGGGGGAGCCTGGCCCAGCATCCCCTGTCAGCGGGTGTTTTGTCCAAGGGTTGATCTGCTTTGGTCCCTGCAGAACAGGGAGGCTGGAACTGAGCGATCTCTGAGGTCCCTTCCAACCCAAGCCGTGGAGCACCAGGACGGAGATATTCCCAGAAGTACCTCAGTGCGTGTCCTTGCCTGGGTGAGAAAAGACAGCCTTGGCCTCGAGCCAGGGCATTGGCAGGAGTTAATCAGTAAGACACAAGTACGTCAGGTGAAGCGGTCTGGTGTCGGTCATTGATCGACGTGGAGCTGACCCCTGTTGTACTGTACACAGACAAACAGGCAAGTCGGGATCTGTGATTTCAGTCCATTGCTCTCGGAACATAGGTTAACATCAGTGTAGTCAGTAAGCATCAGAAGAAGCAGCAGCTATGTGTGATGTAACAATGAGAAGATTCACAACCCAAGGGAATTTTTGCCTTGACTAAGTCCAGGCTTAAGAAGCAGACTTGCTTCCTTATGATGCATAGAGAAGCCAAAAATAAGGGAATAGCAACCTCACACCTGTTTAAAACACTTCATGTACACAAAAGTCTCTGGTCATCTTAGACTGGAAGAAACACAAAATCAGTTTGCGTGCACCAGCCAAGAGTTTAAAACAACGTGTGAAGTAGCAGCAATGCTGAGTACAAAGGTGTCCAGAATACTGTGGGCAAAACCCATGCTCCACATGTCCTTCCCTTGGCGCTCTTACAAACTCTGGATTTTAGCACCACAAATAATTTGAAGTGACAGCTCCCGTTGCTGAGAGGAAGAAGTTGTCAGGGCTACGCCCAGCCTTCAAGAAAGTGTGTTATAGTGGGTAGGAATGAACAGGTCAGTTTCCATCGGACTTGTTTAATTTGTTTTCCAAGAGTCTGTGGATTCACAATACAAGCCCTGATGTGAACCCAGAGATAGCTGCAGAACAGACACTGCACCAGTATCGTCAACTTCTTATCAACGTAATTTTTCCCACTCTACAAACATTGTGCTGTTCCAGGACAGTTTTAGAAGAGTTTATGTAAGCACAAGAGTAAGGTCATCTGGATTTTGCTCATCTTCTGTAGTGCTTTAAGCCTGGTTCTCATCGGTGTGTCCTGTGACATGGTTCAGGAACCAAGTCTTATAGATCAGTCTGCTCCTGTCTTCAGATCTGAAGTTAATAAATACCTTACAAATGCAGTTCAGAGTCCTGATCAACCACTTAAATAGCCTACTTCTCAATCTGAAGCTTAACAGCACTGAAGAATTGTGATTAAGGGTGTGTAACTATAGTACAGCACACTCAGATGTGCTTGACTCCATAAACAGGTCAGAGCTTTTCCCAGGCCTCTACATGCAGAGGGCAAAAGAATTTTTGCGTTTCCTCTTTCCCACCTCAAAACCACTTTGCTTCAGTAAATATGCATGGAGCACAAGGCAAAGTATTTGTAGTGCCACCTAGCAAAATTTGTGGCTGCCACTTCCATTCATTTCTTCTCAAAATCCTGAGAAATTCTAGCAGTAGAAATTGCAGTAATAAAGCAGCCTCACTTTGCAGTTGAGCAGTGAATGGGCAGGGAATTCCACAGAAAAGACTGCATGTGTAGCAGCTGGTACATGCTAAAGAGGCCATTTGGTGCGAAAAATAACATGGAAGAGCCAATGTTTGTGAGTTGTTTGGGGTTTTTTTTAGACAGCTTTGGAAGGAGCACAAAACATGGAGCAAAGCAAGGCCGCTTTCTCTTCTGTCAGACCGTTTTCTGCACAGAAGCACTCACAGTAGTGACATTACACTTACAGGGGAGATGAATAATAGGATACTTCCTCCTGTCATCCAACACCATTGAACGCTATTTCACCATTCAGTCACATCTGCAAGGCCTTTAGTTATTGTTTTTACTTGCCTATGGGTTCCTTCTACCTGAATCCCCAGCTATAAAAAACAGTCATGCTTCGCATTTGTCCAACACACTGAAATTTGTATATGAACATGCAAAGACAGATGATTTTTTTGAAAACAAGTTGTGTGGCTTGTGAAAAATAAACCAAACAAGTGTTATTTTCTAAATTTTGTTTCATTTATTTGGCAGTAATATCCAAAACCCCCTGCTTCAAAAAAAAATATTACAAAATCAAGTAAAATAAGTGCACTAAGGAAACCTACAGAATACTGATAAATTTCACACACGTACAGGAGGGAATATAAAGGGAGGAGTGGGACATTTTTCTTTGTTGCTTAAATTTGGTTTTTTGGGAAAAACAAAACAAAACAAAACACCTTCCCTGCCCCTTGTAGTCTGTACAGCAATCATCCCAGAGGGCAATGGCTGAAATTCAGCACTTCCTTCCCCAGCAGCCAGGTCACCCTGCAGGAGTTACTGACTGACCAGCCTACAGAAGCCTGAGCATTGCTCAGTGTGGGCTGCCCTTCCCCTCTGTGCAGGGAGCCGAGATATTTTGGTCCCCTTTGAGAACTGCTGCCCTTAGAATGGGCCCTGCCTTCCACTGGGTCCCTTAGTGGGAGCACAAGGAGAAGAGGCTCCGCAGGCAGCAGCCCTGTCCAGAGGCACTGTTGCTGCGCTCCCAGCCTGCTGCCTGAGGCTACCCTGGGATCTGTTGTATGGCTTCTCGGAGAGCTCAGCTTGCCGGAGACCGCAGCCCGTCCCTCCACCTTCAGTGCAAGAGCAAGCTCTGTAAACCTCAGCTGCCAGCACACGTCTCTGGCTGCCCCAGCAGCCACCCCATCCACACGCTGCACAGCCTCAGCAGGCAGGAGAGGACAGAGAACACATCACAGTGCAGCCTACAGAAGCCCTGAAGCTGTGCATTTGCCTCACATTCCTGCACGTGCTCTGGTTTCCACAACTGGAGATATTCCTGACTGAACAAGATGTTATCCCCACCCAGGGAAAGCCTTTAAGGCAAGCTGTTGTGTTTTCTCTAAGGCACTTTAATAATCCAAGCTGTAAGGATTGATCACTATCTGGGAGGCACTAACTACCTTTTAGAGCAGGGCTGGAATAAAGCAAAACCTTTATTAACAATGTTCCTGTGACTCCAGATCCAGCACATGAAGCCCTTTCTCTCATACTCTTGGGAAGGAGCAAGCCTGTATCTAATGGGTTCTCCTGTTTCACCAACCACTTCTTCCAGTGCCACCAGAACACAAACAATGACTCTGTCCCAGTGGAGCATTGTCCACATTAGCCTCAGCTCCTATGGACTCATTCCTCTCACCTTCACAGGTGACAGCTGCTCAAATCCAGGCCCTCATGAGAAAAAACTGCCCAGTCTCCTTCTGTATTTATGATGCCAAAAGCTCCATGGCAGGGTACACTATAGTTGTCACTGGAAAAGTGGCACTATGCCAAAGTCAATGGAAGTCCTCTGGCTTCACATCAGGAAAACAGCTCAAAGACCACTGATCGTCACTCAAACCGGACACACTTTTGCAGATGCAAGTGGAATTTTGCTTGAGTAAGCAATAGGGACTGCAAGATATGCAGCAACAACTGCTGAAGTTGCTCACAAACAGAAAGATGGAAGTCACAAGCAATCAATCAGGGCACATGCAACTGCTTGGGAAGCACAGCACAGGCATGAAGGGAACATGGATATTCAGGGGTACATGAAGTACATTTGACAACTGCATGAGAAAATCAGCTGGGCTTCAGGCTACAGAGGTGACTATCAAAAAAACAGCATTTCATTTATATCTAGGACCAGTGCTCTGAGAAATGTGTGGGATGAAACTGGCCCATGAAGGAATGTGAGAGTGGTCAAAGGTGGTCTGATCAATGACACTGAGGAATGCGTCAGTAATGAGGCTTCCAGCCTTGGCTCCAAATTCAGACCTGGAATCAAAGAATAATGCTGCTGCCTCACCCCAGAGGAAGATGAAAAGCCCAAGATGATGCCAACAGCTACAACAACTAAACAGTTTTCTACATAGTTAAGCTTTTTAAGATAATGTACTAATGGGATTGCCTGGTCCCTCTGTCTCTAGACAGCTTTGAGCAATTTAGAGAGACACGAGCACAGACTTTGAGCACATGGTCAATGCTAGCTAAGGGAGTGAGAGCTAGAGAGCTGCAGTGGCAATCTGTGTCTGGTGAAATTAATTACATCCAGCCCTGTCTCTTCTTCCCACGAGGGACACTGCTATCCCCAGCTGGGAAATACCCTGTAGTGCAAGGCTCACAATTCGCCTGTGGTGTTTGTGGCGGCTGAGTGCAGTGCGATACAAACTGTGCATGGGCATTACAGCACTGTCAACAACAAAAACCCACACGCTGGGTTTTTTTGAAAGATCTAGAGCTACAAAACATACAAAAGCTGAATCACTACCATAGGAAATAAAATAATAAAAAACCCAAAACAAAACAAAACAAAAAAAATAAAGGGGGAGTCAGCATGTGAATGTGATAAGAAAAAAATACGATAGCACCTCTAAGGAGGGGGCAGGGAGAGTAAGAGTGAGATGAGGTCAAAAGGAACCATGTTGTGTTGGAGCCCACAATGTACTGGAGGAGCTGCTGGGGACAGTCTGGTGGAAAGCAAGGAGGAATGTGCTGGACTCATGCCAGCAGCATGGCACCACGTCTCCCAGGTGTCACACCAGGCAGACCAGCTTTGAGGAACTCGAAGCAAAGGGTAAAGTCCTTGGATAATGATGCCCTGCAGCACACGTGTTCAGCCACAAAACTGCCAGGCCTGTATTTCTGCAGCCAAGGCTGGTGCTGACAATTGTATTGACTGAAGACCCCCTTTTCTATCCAGCATTGACCTCCATCCTTTCCCCAAATCCAGGGGAACGAGAAATCCCTGTTAGTTCTTGGAGGGAGCAGTGGTCTGCTCTGGGAAAGGGTCCCAGAAACTGCTCTAAGTCCCCCCCAGCCTTCCAAGGTCCCAGCAATGAAGCTCCCTGAACAGGTGGGCTCTGCTCCCCTTTCCTGGCCCCATTCTTTGTGTATTACAAAACAAATAACCCATCGCTATACATGTAAATATCTGTGACTGGGCAACTGTAGCAGACACTTGTGCATACTGAGATCAGCACTGGAGGACAGGGTGGCAGGTTGGGCCCGTCCTCCTGGGCTCCTCCTCTGTGGAGCCCCCTTACATCTCCTTGGTGCTCATTCTCTTGGTCTTCTCAGCCGTCTCCTGGAGAAAGAGAGCACAGCAGTCAAGCTCTGTGCTGACACAGAAATTGGTAGCACTCTGAAGTCTTTGGTCCATCCACAGGAAGTGCCAACACTGGCTTATATCTTAAAACCCCACAGCTGTATTTGTCCCCACAGTCAAGAGATTTCTACTTTCTCCCCCTTCTACCAGAAGTCTCCAAGTGACAGAAACAGAAGGAACCCATCTGGCAAGAGGAGGCTTAGTGCAAGCAGACCTTCCCAGCCTCATGCTAACCTGATGCTTCTGCAGTTCTTCAACATATCTGGCCATCTCCTCCTCAGTCAAATCTTGATCAGGTCGGTGTCTCTGAGCAGGCACCTTTTCATTCCTCCCTGGAAGCAGAAATGGAGTTTAGTGTTTCACAAACAGGGGATGCCAATTTCAGATGCTGAACCATGAAGAACAAAGAGAGGCAGGTCAGCCACAGCATCCCTCAAGCTTAGGAAGCCTTTGCTGGATGATGCTATGGGTTGGCCTCTTAGAAAGAGAACAGGCCTTGTGGCTGCCTGGGACTTCACAACTTGGGTTTGAGTGTGTAGTCTGTCCCTGTCTCTCCCTCCCATGTGACTGATAATAAAGCCACATGGAAGAGGCTGCGTATTATGCAAAAGAAACACCTATAATTAGTTCAAATATCTTGGCCTCTTGTAGGGAATAAATGGAAGCTCAGTGCTACCCAAGTACAATAACTGATATCTAATGAAGAGGTAATTTTGCTCAATGAAGCAAACTTGCTGATGTGTTTGATCTGATTCTTCAGTTTCATTATTCCTCTAACAATAGCCTCTAACCCCTCTGCTGCTCTGACATGGGCAGAAAGTCAAGCAATTGTTATCTTCTGTCATGGATGCAGGGAACAAAGTAGGCAGCAAGAAAAGGTGTTGCATAGCAACTTTGAAGGTTGTTTCTGGAGAGGCAACAAAAAGAGTCTCTCATTCTGTTGCTTAATCTATGACACCTACACACAGCTCCTCTGGCAGCTCTATTAATACTACAGTTCTCTTTTCTAAGGTGAGTTCCTGCTGCTACAGCTAAGTCTGAGCTGAGGTGATCCTGAAGCCTCTGCTGCAGAAGATCAGATAAACATGAAAAGCTCTGTACACACTGCTGCCGTTTCCCTCTCTCCTACTCTGCCCAAGCTACTGACTATAGATCTGAACCAGTGTACTCCTGGCAGGTCCCCCACAGCACTGAAACAAAGCTCCAGCAAGGGCCTGGTTTCTAGGGAAGAAGGATATAAGAATGCAGAAAGGGCTGGGTTTCTAGGGGCAAAGGCCAGAAAAATGCAGCACCATGCTGGGAGGATGGATGTGGCTCCTTGGGAAGAACCCATACATTTGCTAGCACAGGGAAAAGGTGGCATTCCACTGGCCCTGGACCATGTGTGAGAAGGTGAAACAGAGAGCTGTTGTTCACAACTGCACCATGACTTCTCACAATTGGCTGTGCAAGTTTAAGGGCCTTCCAAAGGAGGAACAAACAACCCTGCCTTACTATGAGCACCACCTCTCTTCATCACTATTATTCTGCAGTTTTGTGGCAAGAAGCTGAAGTGCTTTCTTGGCATTGGATGAAGGTTCTTATATCCCCTCTTGATCAAAACAGGATCCTAGATCCTGTTTTACAAATTCCATAAACACACATACAGTGAGGATATGGACACATATACAGAAAGCTGACTTGCTCACACCTACCCATACAGTAGCAGCCAGTGACCTATTTGGTCTGCACCAGCTGGATGCAGAGTAGATCTGGTCTGGAAGATTTAGTGCTGAATTTTCATGACACCAAATCCAAACTACAAACCCCAGCAGTACTGCCCTGGGCCCAGTTACACACTTTCTGAATACTGGAACAGTACCAGCTTGGGTTTCACTAACATGGAACATGTGAGGGTTATGCAGAAACCACCCGTGGAGAAGCTGAGGAAAAGCTGGAGAGAGAAGAACCCTGGGTAGCTGGTGCCTTTGGAATGACAGAGTGAGAATTCCTTTTGTCCAAACCCAAACAGTAATTTTGTGGAGAGCATACGGACCCTCGCACGTCATTGCGGTGCACACCCAGTTTCCACAGGCACAGACGCAGCGGTTGCACTCCACCTCGGTCTCTGCTCCGTCCTCATAGGTCTCATCTTCCAGGGCACACTCTGAAGAGGCACAAAACAAGGGCAGTGCTTGTGAGAGAGAGAGAGCAGGCTAAAGACAACATACTTTGGAGATGCCTTGAGAGAGAATATGAGGTTTAAGGGGAAGCCTTCCTTCCCCCAACCATCAGAAGTTTCCTTATGACTAAAATATTCATGCTGAATTTGGTGAATGAAATCAGCCAAAATATAATTTGGGAAAGTCAAACACTTTGTTTTTCTTCCTCAGAAGAACACATTTCAATTTCTCAATTCCAAATTAAATCTCAATGTAGGATTTGTTTGAATTTCCTTATCTGTTATGCAAAGAAAAGAGCCCCTGAAATGAAAGCTTGGGTAACTGATACAGGTGGGGATAAACTGGGGAAACGATTAGGAAGGATAGTGAGATGGTAATCAGGCAGGCTCTCTGTGTGAAAGGCAGAGCATAGCAGGACTTTGGTCTGGTCTGACTTTCGTAAGTTATCCGGCCATGAACTCCTCACATGATTGACCTCTGCACTGTTAAATACATGCCTTGACCTTACAAGCATACCATATCCATTCAACCTACGTCCTTGCTTCTAAAATCCAAACCTTTCTCATCACAAGAGCTGCAGGAGCTCTGAAACAGTAAAAGCAGTACTTTCATCAATGCAGGGACAAAGGGTGCTGTTGGATGAGAGGCAGGCATGTATTAAAATTATCTCTGGCAGTGGAGTTACAGCACCCAGTGTCTGGCCTGAAGCTGATCTCTTTTCTTTCCTCCCTTCCCAAGACCCTTCTTGTTCCCCAAGATGAGTGAGGAGTTCCTACTTTTCTCAGGTGGGTTGAAGGATGGGCTGAGGCACTTGAGAAATTCATTGAAGCTGAGCTTCCAGTCAGCATTTTCATCTGACAGCTCGATGAGGGCATCTACGCAGAGTCCCCTGAAAGGAAACACAGAGGCTTGTTCGGCACAGGGCTGTGCTAGGCCAGTCCCTGCTCTACTGTCTTCAGAGTGTGGGTGAGTAAAACCAGTGATAACTAGGGAGACTCCAAGATATCTGGCAGAGGTGGCTTCTCTAAGGAACCTCATGGGATACAGAGTAAAGAAAAACAGACACAAAATACTCTCTGTCTGGCAACGGGCTGGGCAGTGGGGGGATATCCACAACATCATCCCATCAGGAATGGGACATCGACATTTGTTGACATCTACATGCTGAGAGAGATGCAAGGTAGAGATGCAAGCACAGCATAACCACAAACAGCCTTTTTTCACACAGTGGTAGACAAAGAAAGAGGGAAACCTCTCAAATTATGGACTGTGTATAGATGGTGTTTTCCCACCATCTTCCTTGCACTGGATCTATTAGGAAAGAGGTGAGGGGAGTCCCCAGGAAAGCTAATTTATTAGGAAATAGAAGATAACAAACCTTCTGTTACCCAACTCCCCTCTGGCTGCACAAATGCTAGATTTAAGGCAAAAGAGGATTGGAATACATGCCTAACATGAAAAGTAGAGATAGGACTGCTCCTTTTGTGGTGTTCACACCTATTTAAGTAAGAAGCCACTTCATACACAATTAACTCTGACACTGCAAGCCCTAACTGATACTTGCCATGAGTTAATTTCCATGTTCCAGTCTACCACATCTGCCCCCACGGCCCTCCCTCTTGCATCATGTCCAGTGCCCACCTGAGCAACTTGTTTGTCTCCTGGTCCATGTAGGTGGTGATGTTGATGGCAGTCTCATTCTGCTCCACAAATTTCAGGAATTCAGTGGAGTCCAAGCGAGAATCACCATCATCAAAGCTCTGTAGGGGAAGATGGGAAAATGTGAGAGGCTCTCATTTATCAGTTCAAAGTACGCCTTCCTTCTTCTTCTTCCTTATGTACATAGCATTTTGAAATTTTAGTAAGACAAGTTCCATTATCCCTGTTTTTCACAAAGAAAGAGGCTCAGAGAAAAGCAGCAACATATCCACATTAGCCTCAGAGTGAGAGAGATATGATCCTAGCCTTGTTCTCACAGATAAGCTACACTGACTCTCATTCACCTCCTGCTGCTTGATTTATGGCTCTAACCCTATTTCTTCTCTTTGTTTCAGCCAGCTCTTAGCTTTCTTATATACCTCCTGCCTTAAAGCAGACCAGCTGCATTCAAAGAGGTGTCAGCTTTCCAATAAGTGTAAATCCAAAGCTGTGCCTGGACTCTGAGAGTGGCAAAAGGGAAAAATCAGAGGAAGTAATTTTCTGCTGATACCAGGGAAAAAATTTAATGCAATAGCACAACACCTCACCATCAACTTCTTAAGTCCTGACAGGACTCCTGGCACTGAAGAGCAGCATTTTTAGCCCCAAAATCCTGGCTGTACTCCCAAAGAAGTAATTGCATTTTGCTTTCCTGTTTGGAGCTGTGACACCGTAGTGCTGGGCACTCAGCAGGAACTGCTGTGCCCCCTCAGAGACAGCTGCATTGCTGTGAGTGGAAAATTAATCCTGCACACAGACTGCTGCCACCTAATTTTTGCTGTGTGATTGAGGCAGGTCGCTGTGGCTCCTCGTGTAGTGCTCTCAGGAATGCTGGAATAGACACTGCCAGTTGTTACCTCTGTGTGTTTCAGGAGAAACATCTAGGGCTAGGGAAATTATCCTGCACAACTGCTCCACATGTCAACTTCCACAAGACTTTGAAGCCTCTTGTCCTGCATTTTTTGGTGAAAATGACTGCAGTTCTCTTAATGGCCCAGTCTGTTAAGTGAGTTTTCTTGCCTATCAAAGCTATGGTCTATATTAAGGCACTCCCACAGAGATCCTCCAAAATGGAGCAGCTTCCCACTACTGGGCTTGTTCCTCTTGAAATAATGTCCTTCAATGTCATGGCCTGCCTGATGAACAATGCACATCTCAGGGAGCCCCACAAGTCAGGCTTCCAGGAGGGAAATAGCTTAAAGCCACATCTACAAACCTCCCCATCAAGGAGAAAAGGGAAAAGCTTAATTTCAGCTATGCCTCCAGTGTTTCCTACATGCAGGACAGGAATCAGGCCATTTGCATGAATGCAGGGCATGAAGAGCACCACATCTTGGCATGACAAAATGCCTCCAGTGACAACAGACAATTCTTGCTGACACAAGTCTCTGTATGTTCGAAGCCATTTAGTTTGCTTTGCCTTGATTTATCCCAAGTTGTTTCAAACTCTGAATTCTGCATAAAAAATGTTCCAAGGCTTTAAGAATAAGGTGTTTTAAAAGGTGGATTACCACCTGACAGAGAATCACAGAATCATTAAGGTTGGAAAAGACCTCCAGGATCATTGAGTACAACCTCTGATGGAACACCACCTTATGAACTAAACCACAGCACCAAGTGTCACGTCTAGTTGTTTCTTGAACCCTTCCAGGCATGGTGATTCCACCACCTCCCTTGGCAGCCACTCCTTCCCCAGCCTGTAGCACTGCCTGGGATTGTTGTGACCCAAATGTAGGACCTGGCACTTGGCCTTACTGAACCTCATACTGTTAACCTCTGCCATGGAAATTCTCCCTTTGGTACAAGCAGAGGTACTTCTTTGCCATAAGAACTCTCACCTGATGGCTGGAATCAGTGCTCCAGAAAAAGTGGGACAGTAAAGAGAACATGAGGCTGCCTGCATCTGAGCTGCAGCCTCAGGACATCACCAGAACACTGACAGGCGTGGGGACAGCAGGTGTGAATGCCTTGTGCTGTGACAGTGGAACAAGCTTGTGGCTGGCTCATGCATTTCACCAAAGCCCATGACCTGGGGAGACCCTGCAAAAGTGGCTGGGGACAGCACATTTGCAGGGAGAGGGACTGACACAGGACACTGACACTTTTGGGTGCTGGAAGGCACTGACAGGAGTGCCCAGGGCAGTGGATTTTCACAGACAGAGCAGCATTAAAGGCTGCAAATGTGAGGATGCTCTGTGGAGAGAGGGGACCAGCTCCTCTGTCTCACCAGGGGGTGCCATTGCCATGGCAAATTTGCTTGCAGTGCTAACTCCTGTCAGGCACCATTAATCTCTTGCTGTCAACAGCTCATGATTTAAATGATCTCCCCTCTTCCCCACCTGCTCCTCCAGCTCTATCCTGAATGCTTTGAAGTCTCTGTCAGGAGCCAGGCGTGAGGGGGAGGAACACAGCAGTGCATGTGGCAGGAGCATGGGAGAAGCTTGGGTTCTGTTGGTTACAGAAGGTGGTGTGGATGGGCTGAGCGACAGACTGGAACAGGATTATTGTAAGGCCCAAGACTCAAGTGGCTCCTTTCACTCTGCAGAGTACTAGGGAACTGCCAGCTCTCAGCCACAACTGGGACATATTCCTTGAAGCCCCCAAGTGTCCCCTACAACCATCTCAGCATGGTCTTGGGACTTATCTGGAACAAAAGACCCTGCCACAGCTTCCTGCATTTCCAGCACTTTCACCTTTTCTCCTCTGGCTTTTACCCCTAAGATTAGTTCTCTACTCTGCTACAGGTACATGTGGCTTGCCCTCCTCCTTTTCCCCGAGGCAGGTCAGACATCAGGAGCCAGAGATGCTCCACATCTGATTGTCATAAGCTGTGTCAGTGGCTCAGTCAGTGGCTGCTGCAGGCAGCCCATAACACATCAGGCTGTAGGACTTATCAGATCCCTCTGGTCCCCAGTTCCACAGGCATGTCACACACTGGAGCCTCTCAGCTGGGGGCACAGCAGCTGTTATGCAGTGACAAGACAAAAAATGTTGTCTGGGCTCTGAGGCAGGTGCTGCTCTACTTGCCTTGAAATATTTGTCCAGGACTTCACTGTAGTTACTGCCCTTGGAGAACCACCCATCTGGGATAATCTCAGCTTCCAGCCACTGGATGACCCGGCGACGAAGCTCGTCCCTGTCCGACTGGTAGCAGACAACTGTAATGGGAGACAGTGCAGTAGAAGGAAAAACAAGAGTGAGAGAAATCAAGCTGGCAGGGAGATCACAGAGAGAGGACTGGAGATAAAAGCCAGCCAGCCCACCCTGATGGCAGCTTGCAGCCCCACCATCCCGTCCTTGGAGTTACATCAGTGCCAGATCCATGCAGATGTGTCATGTGCTGAATAGTGGATGGGCTGTTGGTGACACCATGTGGCAAGGCCGGAAAACAACACTCCTGCCAAAGCTTTTCCTTCCCATTCCTGAAGCTTGTGAAAGAACAACCCAGAGCTGACTCATCTTGGTGTGAAGAGTCCCAGACTGAGGCAGAAAGGTAACTGACAATGTCCCCAGCCTTCCCAACACTGCGTAAAATTATCATTCAGCTGTCAACCCTAAAGTACCAAAACCTCTATCCTCTGCAAGGGTGAAGACCAGACCGAGCAAGGCTTTCTACCAATCTGTCTCCAAAATTTTAAGGCCTACTATCTCAGGAAATATTGTTTCTTCAAAGCCCTGATTTGTCCACTCTGACGAAACAAGAGGGGGTCAAGTTGGGCTTGTTCACTCACAGCGCTTGCCAGTGTCACAGGTTTCCCCAGGGTGGTCATCACTTCATGTGAAGTACAAACTGTGCATTTAGAAACAAAACTGAAAGCCTAGCTGTGAATTGTCACACCTGCCCAGTGGTAAGCAAAGCCAGAAAAGGCATCAGTGTGCATTCACATCACTTACACACACTAAGGATCTTCTGAATCCAGTGACTACTATCACAACCAGATGGAGAGATGAAAAAAACCCAGCTCTGTAGGGACTCTGCATGTTTAATTTTGTACTTCTTTAGAACTGCTTTAGGGTGGTGGCCGTGCTCTGACATGGCCCTTCCTCTTTAGTTTGTAGGAGGTTTTGCTCTCATCTGTCCTAGGAAGTTGAAGCTGATGATTATACAGCTCCAGTAATTAGAGGTCATGAATGGGAAAAGGCTCTCCTGAGCCATGACAAGCCATGACCCTAAAATCCAGTGTTAAATACACATGGCAATACATAAGGGGAAAAAACAAGCACAGGGAATCAAAGAGACTTATAATTTAGGTGATCATAGAATCATTTAGGTCAGAAGAGACTCTCAAGATCATCTTGTTGGCCGATGGTAGAGGCAGTTCAGCTGTACCTCCTGACGCTGCCTCTGCACCTATTGGTTCATCACTCCTAAAGCAAAGTTTCCTTTTAAAATGAGTGCTCCTGGAACTGGGGACAACAGCTCCACAGTTATGATCTTAGATCCCCAATGAAGGAGGTAAAAGAGTGCTCCATCCCTCAGTCTGGGTGATGAGCACAGTTTGAGTCCCTGGGGGCAAACTGGGTTTCATTGCACCTTGTCTATGCTGAGTCCCTGAGATATTCCAGCACAGTGAAAAGCCCAGGAGATGTATGAGCTCTGAAAGGTTACCCAAGAGTAAAGAGTTGGGCAATCACATTTCAGCTCATTTATCAACTCAAACTCTTTAACAGCCCATGCAGGATATGACTTTTACACAGAGCTCTGCAGTCCCCCAGCACACCCTCCTGCCCATCTCCCAGAGAACACAAATTCATACAGAGGCCTCAGCCAAACAGGAGACAGCTTCTTACCTGGACTTGCAGCTGGATTCTCAGACTTCTTCTCTGTTAATGGAAAGACAGAAGAGGACATTTCTGATCCAAGGTGATACAAATCTCTTCCCACCATGGGTAAAAGCAGTTTTTGGACATATGAGGACCACATACATGATAGAGGGCCTGGAATCCCCTTGACCCCCTAGGAGATACTGAGGACAGTTTAGGCTGAAGAACTGAAGACTCAGGGCCAATCTCATCAATGTTGATAAATCTAATGGAAGGAAATGAGGAAGACTGCACCAGACTTTTATCCATGGTATCCAGTGACAGGCCAAGAGACAATGGGCACACATTTAAACACACAAAACTCTGAACACAAGAAAACCACGCAGCTGTGTGTATGTGTGTGAGAGAGTTAAACAGCCTCACTTACGAGGCAAAATCCTTGCTCCTAAAGTTATTGAGGTTCCTTTTGAACATGATGATAGTATTGGTTTTATGAGTTTATCCTCAGAGCATAACTTTTCCTCAGCAGTTAAACTAAGACACTTACCTGGCTGAATCCAAAAGCTTAGAGTGAGGCAGCAGAAGCAAAAATTTGACCTGCTCTCCTGAGTGCCACACTCCCAGAAGCTTAGGGAGTCAATAGCTCTGAGGTCGCCCCATAGTCAAGATGTCAGGGCTCTGAGTGCACTAATAAAGGCCTTAACAACCCTGCTAGCCTCACCTAGAGCCTCCATCCATGCTCTCTAAATGTGAGCCATGAGGCTCCATTTCATATCTGATGCCTCAATTCCTAATCCTTGCCTGTGATTATTATGTTGTAGGCAAGCCTGTCTCCAGCTCTTTGCAACCACTCTCTTCCATAGACTGTATTCCCACCTTGATCTCTGCTACAGACTGCATCACTGTGAGCTCATCTGGCTGTTGTCTGATTCTGGTTACCTGAATCACCAGCCCCCACTCATTACTTGATTTCAGGCTTACTTCATCACTGCCAGCTAAGCCTGATCATTTGGACTCTTGCTTGAATCTAGATACTGTTCAGAGGCTTGCCTTGTTTACCCCACTCAGCAACTGTGGGACAAGGTCTTGGCTGGTGAGGCCTCTGCCTTGCCTTGTTATCATGCTTCCCTTCCAACTCTTTGTCCTTGACTGTGCAGCCAGCCCTCCTTGCCAGGGTTACCTTTGCAGTGGCCATCGTAATCCACCTGGATCTTGGAGCCGGTGAGGCAGGCGTCACGGTGCAGCTCACAGTGGTTCAGGTACGTCTTGCCATTGCTCCCGCACACAGGCCTCTTGTGAGGTTTGCATTTCTGTGGGAGAGCCAGAGAACACAGCATTTCACCTGCCTCCTTGGGACAGCTAGAGGGAGGCAGGTGAGTCCAGTCATCAGCCCAGCTCAAGAGAAATCCTTGGCATAGTCCCCTTGGCCCTGTGTTTGGAACAGGCTAACTCAGACATCATTACCCCAGAAAAACTCACACAGGGAAGTCTCTGGGTGTGAGTTCAAAGGCCTCACTTCATCCCAGTTTCCATCACCACCATCATGTCAGGAGTCTTTCTGAAAGCAGACTCCTGCAGAGAAATCAGTGCTCAGCATAAATATGGAGCATCATCCTGCAACTGCTGCTCCATGTGCCATGGCCATGCCTGCCCAGAGGTGTTTCTGTGCCTCTGCTTTATGCACCTGCACTTGCTTGGCCCTATTGCATCTCTCTGCAGACTGCTTCATCCTTCTGCATCCAAATGGCAGAATAAGCCATCAGCCATGAATAAACAGCACAGCCTACAGCAAAGAGAGAGTTTACCAGTACCACTGTTTAGGCTATGAACTTCTTTCTTCTGCCCCTTTTGGTCTGGCCAAGCCTATCCAGAGTGACAGACTCTTTTCCTATTAACAGGGCATTTCACTTTCCAGTGCTCAGGCTGGTCATGCCAGAGCTGCAAGCTCTGAGGGAAGGGGGAACAAAGAGCCACATGGCCATTCCCAGGAGCCAGGCTGAAATGTTTTGAAGGCATGGGGCAGAGTGAAGTAAGGAGACACAGTGTCTCTACAGCTGGGAAAGACTCTTCTAATCATCTCTGACCCCCTGCTGGATTAAGCAATTCATCCTTACAGCACTCTACCACAATTATTTCCATTTTACAAAAGCTCATTTTTAGTAGGGTGCTTGTAACCTCCTCAAACAAGACGCTAGTGGGGGCAGGCTGCCTTGGAGCTCACAGACCACTCCCTAGAGTGCCCTTCAAAGCCAGCTGCATATCCACACCCCAGTGGACTTTCCCAACAAAAGACCTCCAGTCAAGTCTCCTGTGCGTGTAAAGACTCTAGGCAGTCCTGCAAGCAGCACAGCTGCGAGTCCCAGACTCTATTGACTCTTTGGGGCTCTTCCCCCACACAACACTGGAAACAATCCTGCTGTTGAAGAGCCACTGTAAATTTGCAGCTGCTTCAAAACAGCCACGGCCTTATTCCATCACAGACTCCTTCCAGTGACAGAAGCCCATCTGGGGGGTGATGGTGGTGACACCTGTCCCAGACACAGAACCTGTGCTGCTCCAGTACCTCAATGCAGAGGCAGGTTGGCTCTCCCTTCTCTGTCACTGCACACTCACGCCCAGCTCCACAGAAAACATTGGCACAGATCTTAGATTTGCTCCTTGGCTCTTCCTGCAAGATACAAAGTCAGAGACACAAAATACATCATTATGAGTAACAATATGGTTTAAAGAAAAAATTACACATTTAACTGGTATCAGGACCAAAAGGTACCACAGTGTAAAGGTGGGGATGGATGACAGAACGAGAGAGACATGACTTCAATAGATGGACAGCTCAGACAATAAGAAGGAACAGACACAAGAATAAGGGCTACAGTCCCAAGAATACAGGGTTTCCTTCAGGTCATTCCTGGAAAATCACCTGAGAGAACTGGAGCAAACACGAGCAAGAGGAAATCTAGCAAGAATGGCAAGAATAATTTGCTCATGTCGAGGACTGCTGTCTTTAAAATTTCTTTTCATGGAGGGTAGGGAGCAGAAATGTCTTTGCTTGAGACACTTAGGAAGAAGAAGAACATATCCCTAGAGAAAGGTACAATACAAACAGGCAGAAGAAATTGCCATCAGGCACCAGATAATGTCCTTGTCACAAAAAAGTCACAAAACTACATGACCAATTATCTTGCTTTCACTGGTCAAGATTAAACACTTTAAAGGAAGAACATTGTCATGGATGAGATAATTATCCAGTAATCCTCCCATAATGAAAATTCCTTCCTGGTTTCTGACAGAGTGCAGTTGACTTTTGCCCTGCAGCACGATTTATATGCTTTACAGTTCTCTCCTAGCCAAAGTCATCACAAGTATTGTTGTTCAAATAACTGTCAAATATTTATTTTTTTTTCTTGGAGTCCCACAGCATTCCTAAACTGATGACACCTAGCATGGAGTATTTCCATAGTTTAATCATGTTTTTGATACAACTACCACTTATTTTTATCCATTTAATGCCTTTTTTAATAGACTTTTAAAAGAGAAGGTAGTTCCAGGGGTTCAGACTTTGAAAAGTCTGGCTTAATTCCCTGCTTTGTCATTAATTTCCTTTGTGATTCTCATTTCATCTAACATTTTCCACCTGTATGTTGAGTATCTGATTTATGCCAGCCAACTGGCTTCTGCAACAGTTTTGCATCAGAAAGAAGACTGAGGAATGGAAAACAGTCACTGAGATCAGTGTGATATCAGTCACATCTGCTGTGTTTCTTCCTCCTAATAGAGAAATGTTCTTTCACCTTCTCATCCGAGTATTCTTATTCTTATACTCTGCTCATTTGTGGCATCTTTGTACCTCCATCATATACTTTTGAAAAGAGGTGATGAAAAAGGAACAGAATTTGTCAGAAGAGCAAGCATTATTGACAAATGCTGAACACATTTTTCCTCCTGTTTCTTCTTTATCCTAATTTTTGTTTGTTTTGCTTTTAAACCACAATTTCACAGAGAGTTGCTGTCTTTACTGAACAGCCCACAGAGACAGCCAGATCATTTTCTGAATAACCTTGCCCTGGTCTTCAGAATAGTTTGTTTGCTGGCCCACTGCACAATTCATCAAACCCAAAAAGGTCTTTTCAAAGCACTGCAGGAATCCCCCATGTTCATATAATGACAAACATCTTTCATATTCTCTGCAGGTGTTCCTATTTTGCTGCTTATTCTGTCAAATACAGTATTTGGACATGCTTAGCTGAGAAATGTATCCCATGTCCCAGGCCTGTTCTCCCCATGAAGACAGCCCCACTCCTTCTGCCTTTTCATCTCCTTTCACATATTGCTCCTGAGCTACAAGGGACACGCTATCCCTTCTGCTGCATCCACCTCTCTCTAAGTCACCTTCCAGTGGAGGGCTGGAGTAAATGACCTGGGCACTTCTGGGGTGGGATGGAACAACGGGAGTACTTCACTGCACAAAGCAACCTCAGGCAACTCAGGGCAGGGAAGGAAGAATAGCTCATTTTGAAAAATGCACAAAGGAAAACCCAAATTGTCCACGGCTGGAGTCTGACTTTGGGGCACTCATACACCTAAAATGCACTGTAGCTACCGAAGTGCTGATCCATGGTAGGGGGTATGAACAACTCGTCAATCCCTTCAAGCAGTCAAAGACAGAAAAAACCAGATGGGCACAGCTTTGTATGGCCACCCAGCGAGGTCTGTAATCCAGGTGCCTGGCAATAGATGGCAGCACTCTGCCTCTCCCATGGACAGGCAGGACTGCCAGCAGCCACCTCCTGTCAAAGCCGACCAATGCCAAACCTGGCTTTTGACTCCTGGCTAGGACTTCAAGCACTGCTACAATGCAGCCGGCCTCAACGAGCATCCACAGTGCCCAAGGTCATCTTGCAGGACTCCTCTCCCCACTCACTTGGAAACCCAGTCTCCAACGTGGCCATCCACAGCTCCCTCCCTGGTAGTACTAAAGCCCAGGAACCATCCCTCTTTCCAGTGGAACCTGGACTGGGGATGCTGGCAGGGTGACACTGCCAGAACAGCTTCTGAAGACACCCTGCCACCTGCCAGGCTAGAAGACCACGTTACTCTGATTTTTCTTATTAATCAAAGCAATACAATTTAGTGGTTGCTTCTTCTTATTGCCTTAAGTTGCCCTAGGCTGGCAGGGGGTTGGAGCTGATTGCCACATTCCAACATGGCTTTCTCTACCTCAGGATTCAGCCAGAGGAAGAAAGGAAGCAAGCTGCTCTGCCTGCCTGCCCTCTCACTCTGGCACAGGGTTTCTCAAACCCAGCTGTGGCATACCACAGGGTGGGAGCTCTTTCTAGCAGCTCCTGGCTGCCTTCCCAGTAAATGTGGGAGTCTCCTGTGCACGAATGAGAGTGTAACAGGGACAGAGGTGGATGACTAGATGAGTACAGTAGGGGTCTGTGAATGAGGCTCTATAATCTCTCAGTTCTGTGGTGATTTCCCAGAAGCTACCAGCCAAACTGGTTCCTTGTGACAGATACTCTGATCTTACTTTGGACCTTGTCATGTTTGCTCTTTATAAAGCTTCACCTGCTGGAGTCATGTGAGTTAGGATGGCAGCTGCCACTTTAATATTAAATAGCTCATCCTTGCACCTGCCTTGTAAAAGCTTGAAAATGGGAACTGCAAATTTTTAACTTTTTAAATTTTTAATTTTACAAAAAGACTCCACAGTGTTTCAACATCATTGCCCTTAAACGAATGAATATCAGGATTTGGGGGCTGGAATCACAGCTTTTACGCTGCTTTGTCCCTGAGAGCTGCCACTGCCTTTTCTGTCATCCTGTGCTTGGGAAGTGTCACCCGTTCCGGTCCACAGCGCGCTCGGGCAGGCGGAAGGGAAAGGGCAGAGAGTTGTTATTAATTGCTGCATGGTGGCATTCCCACTGCAAGCCTTGGTAAGGCAGCTCCTCTCTTCTGCCTCAAGTGAGGTGCCCAAGCTCTCTCTCTGGGCAACACTTTTACACCCTCCTCTGCTGCCCAGAGAGCAAGTGGGAAGGTGTAAAAGCAGCGAGGATGAAGCCAGGGCAGGAGCGCCTGTGCCTTTGGAATGTCTGCCACAGTACAGGGGCATGACCTTCCCAGACATTTTCTCTGGCAAAGACCACGGAGAAAGCTGTTCCCAACAACTTAAGGGCCAGAAGTTCAGGACAGCGTCATGTAGGCATAGCCCAGCTTGCCTACTGAATGGGGATGGGAATGCACAATGCTTTTGGAGGGCTGGGAAGTGTAACCCTGGGGATGAAGGTTCTTGCATGTTAACAGGCAAACACTAAACAGAAGACCTGAGCTGACAGTGCAGAGAGTTGCATGCAATGCCTCTGCCTCAGCTGTTGCCTCCTGAGGAGGAAGGAGGAAAAAGACATTTCCAAGGCACCCAGAGGCAAGAAAGCCAGAGGCAATGCCAGCGGTGAAGGATCACCATGGCAACCAGCAATGCAGGGCCTCAAGGTGGAGAGCTAAAATTAGGAAATTAGGCAGTGGAAAGGGCTGCTTCTCATCTCTGGCAGCATCCGGTGCTGAGGAGTTGGACCCCAACACAGAGTAAGCACAGATGTCCGGAGCATTTCCAAGTCCCTGCCTGCGCCCGGATGTTCAGGACCGAGTGTGACTCGACACACCAATGCAGTGCCACGTGCAGGTCTGCACAGGATCCCAAGGTCCTGCAAGGTGCTGTGCCTGCTCTGCACTGGTGGGACTGCTTGGAAACAATGCAGTGTCTGCAGTGAGATACGAGTGATTGCACACCTGACAGAAAAGAGGTATCACAGCTCCTTGCCTTTGCAAGGGAGCTGCATACTGCATCTCACCCTTGGCTGCCTCTTCCCCTGGCCCCTGTTGAGCCATGACTGTCTAGTGCCCCTTGGTGGGGATTGGGACTTTTCTAACCAGCCTGTGAAAGTTGAACCACAAACAATTCAGTGACAAAACACCTTCGTAAGGAAAAACAAGCTTCCACCTGAAGAGAAGAGCTGTGCATGCAGCTCTACATCCACAGTGTCCGGCTGCCCAAAGAGAGCAGCATGGATTAGTGCCATTACACACATTCTGGGAAACAAGCAGAAAGATTGCCCTGCTACCAGGTCAGGAGTTAATGTGCTTCACAACAACCCCTCACACTGCCTTGTTTCTGCATATCTTTCCATACAAAATCTCCTCTTTGCTCTTTTTCTCAGCAGCCCACACTGAACTGGAGAAATACTACCTACTGTCCTGCTCCTATTGATATAAGTAACAACCTTTTCTGCTATCAGCAGTGAGGGCAGGTCTTTTCTTCTTTTGGCATCACTTTCTGGAAATCCATAAAATTACTTGACCCTCACATAATGCTCTGTGCTGTTTGCTGTAAAATCAAGGCTTTGTGGTTTTGCCTTGCGTGATTTGTGAGGAAATCAAAGTGCTCTAAAGCACTGAAAAATCAAAGTGCTGGAGCACTGAAAGCTCCTATGGGAGGCAATCCCATATATTATACAAACTTGAGTATTATACAGATAAGGCAAAACTAAAGGCCACCAAAATGATGTCTGGGATTGCAAGACATGCACAGATTCTCAAGCCTCAGGGAAGGCAGCAGCAAAAGCTGGTGCAGGTTTTCAGGTATAATCAGTACAATTTGCCATAGACTCCCCTCCATGCAGTCAGAGAGAAATAAGCTATGCAGCTATGTATTTCTGCCAGTCCTCCCTACATCTTCCCATCCACATCCTTTTGCCCGTTCCCTGCCACAGCTAACATGACAGTAGGGATATAAGGGATCTCTGAACATGCGAAGGTGCCACCTATAAACTGCATAGCCTGCACATTTTTTAAAACAATTCAACATGCAGCCATGAAATCTAGTGCCTTCTCTAGCTGTTGTCTTGGCAATGTTTGTTTCTGAATGCAGAAAGATATGGAAACACAGGGCAGTACAAAGCAGACTGGGGGGGCAGGAAAATTCAGCAACTCCTGTGCAGTTATGGCACTGAGAAAGCATTTGGCTTGTGCATTTCATCCCATTACTGAAGAGTTTCTCCAGGCAGAACAGCTCTTTCAGCAGCAGTGTCCTCCTGCAGAGCTCCAGGGAGACCAGATCCCATGTTCCTTGGAGGGCACAAAGGGGCAGCCAGCTTGTCACCTCTGGTCATTTGTGCAGCTGGCTCTGGCAGCACGTTTGTTCCGTTGTTCTGGTTTGCAACTAACAAGCAAAGCACTCGTTCCTCCCTGCAAACCTGACCCAATTCCTGTGGCAGCTCCCTGGATCCACTAACACTCTGGTGTGATGGTGCGGAAATTTGGCAGCAGCATAAACTGAGCAGATTAGCGTGAGACAAGCAGGCACCCCTGACACTGGATTTGCCATAAATAGATAGGTAAGGTGACTGTTACAGCTTTTCTTCCTTTGGCTCGGGTTGGAAGAAAATCCACACAAATTATCTTAAATTCTTACTTGGAAAGCTTGAGTTTCATTTAGCAAAAAATAAGATGGAGATAAGCCCAGCAAGCGGGGATTGAATCATGCAATTCCCAGCTCAGTTCCCCAGTAAAACCAGACATCATCAGGACAATCCCACGACATCATTACTATTGGGATGGTACAGTAGGCTGTGGAATAATACATACTCTACTTTGTAAGGAAACCTGCTGCCAGAGGTTGCTGTATACACTGGTGCAGGGTCATCTCTTGCAGTCTTCTTTTGGCCTGGTGTTATCTGGACTCTAAGCGGCACCCTCTGGAGCTCCTCCCTGCCCTGCTGCAGGAGTTCCCCACCGGTCTCAGGGAGGCACATGGTACGTGTTCTGCTCACACCAACAAAGGTATTGCTGGGGAGATGG